GTAAATTAGCACTTTGTGCTGAAACGAAGAGCGGCCTACCGTCTCCTCAGGTCTCGGCTGTTCACTCCTTCCTCCGAACGGCCGCTCGCGTCCTCTCGTCTCGAGCGGATGACTGTAGCTCGTTCGATTTCACTCCGCCGTACGTCAGCGATGTGAAACGGTCCGTGCAAAAGTCCGAACGAAGGGAGTCCGAGCTGAAGAGGGCCGCGCGCTCGCGGACGTAAATCGCGGGAGCGCTCTCGATCGGGCCTCCGCGTCGTCGATGCGCGAGGGAACCCGTGCGCGGGGGAAAGAGGGCGGTATGGCATATCTATATAATTATCGGAATTTCATTTCGACACTTGCGCGCAGAGTCCTCGGCGATGTTCCTCGCGGTATTCCCCCCCGACACCGAAACCGCTCGCCGATGCGATGGCGCTCCCCGCTGCTCGCTGAACGGTATAATCTAATTCAAAGTTCCGTGAATTTTCCTACGAAATACCGAGGATGGATGTTAGCAACAGACGGACGATTTTTAGCCGCGCCGTTGGCCCCGGGAGGATGCGGTCGGCAGCATCCGAGACATGCCCTTCGTGAACCTTTATGAAATCGTGGCAAAGCATACTTGGCTCGAAAAAGCGGAGCCGTGCCCGCCCGCTGCACGATGCGATCAGGTATGCCGAGAATGGACTGCAGTTTTGCGGCCGGGCGGCGGCGGCGGAGGCGGCGGAGGCGGCGGCGTTTCCGAGAGAAACGCGGCGGAGAGGGCGGGGAGACGCGCCGCGTCCCGATAGCTTTTTCATATCGGCCGCTGATGGTTCTTCTTCCCGCAGGAAGGAAAACCCGGGACCGGAAGTCAAAAGCGTGCGTGGGATCGCGCGCGACGCGTTCGTGCCTGGCGCTCGCTCTCCCTTCTCCCCTCTTCCTCCCTCCTTCGTGCGATGGGCGCGGGTGGAGAGAGGAAGAAAGTCTCGCGACGCCTCGTAAGTAAAGCCTTGGATCAAGAAAGAAACGCAAACGGTCTTGCCTGCTGATTGGCTGACCGCCATATTGGTCTCGTAATGAGTCTTCTGTGAAAGCAGACCACAACTGGCGTGTCGCAAGTAAGGAAATAATATATTTGTTATGTTACTTCCTTATATAAAGAACATTTTAGATATCCATGAGACGAACAAGAAAAATCATATTGTGTGATAATAATCTTGTTTACTTTAACGAAATGTTGATGTCACGTACCAGGGTGATCTGCATCTCTCAACTCGATATGATATTCCATAACTTCAAGAATTTCTTAACACTTAACACTAATTACAATGTTCGGATTAAAATAACAACGTTTCTGAGTGATTTCCACTTATATCAGATACGCGGGTTGCTTTGTTTACAAATGTGACCTGTTCTTCTTGGCTGAGACTACTAGGGGTAGATGGTAGAGATGTGCGAATCAAGAATTTTTATGTCGAATCGAATCGAATCGAATCTGCGAAATTTCACTCGAATTCGAGTTGAATCGAATAAAATCGAATCGAATCATGAAAAAATTTAATATGCCTATTAAACATGCAAATAATGATGGAAGATTTTAATATGAAAGGGAATATTGATATTGTAATATCAGTATGTATTTAAAGTAAAATATATGTTTAAATATTTAAAGTAATTTATAATTAAGTTATTAATTATAAGTTAAGTTAATTACAAGTTAAGGGTTCAAACATACAGGCCCATATGGCCCGTTTTGTAGCTAATGCGCGCAAACGATAATATATTTGATTCCTATTCGAATTATTCGGATTCGAATCATAGGGATTCGGATTCGAATCATAGGGATTCGGATTCGAATTCGAACAATTCGCACATCTCTAGTAGATGGGCATAGGAAATAAATGGTCAATTGCTAAAATTTTATTAATATACACTAGGCGCCAGCGCTGATCGGTCGGTTGTGAGTTGGATGTACCACGAATAGATGTGTCTCTCCCTGATGCACAAAAATACTGTTATTGCGAGTAAATAAATGTTTTATGTTTCTATTAACCTCCAAAATATGTTTCACACGTCGATAAGATACCTTGCGGATACTGTTTGTTTTGAGTTACAACATTAGACCTGGACTTTAACGACTAAGAAAACATCGTACTTTGCGTACGAAAACATTGCGTACTTAACCTCAAAATTTCTCACCGAGATTACGTTTCACGTGGTATACGCATCTTTATGCGAATTTTCCAAACAGGATAGATGGTTCATTTTTATCAGGGTTAGATGAGCAGTCTACTCAATGAGAAATAGCAAACAATAGACATCGGATCGACGTTTTCTAGATGTTTCAAACATATAAAAGACGTCGATCCGATATATCTATTTGACTATCATTTTTCCCCGGGGTTACCTAACATTAAAAACTTCAATACATTTTAAACAGCTTCTTGTTTCGTTTAAAAACGCCGAATAGATTTCTTTCTCTTTTCTCTCTTTAATAAGCAATGTTTTCCCATTGCCCAGGGCCTTTTTCTGTGTTGCCACTTTTCAACCTTCTCTCCAATGTTGTTCTCGGTTTCTAAAAGAAACTTGTGAAAATATTTTATTTTATTAATAATTAATAAAATGATTGATAAAAAGGTTAATAATTAATACAAGAACATAAAATATTAAAATAATAAATAAAGATAAACAAATTTTTTTTAACATTATCTTACATAAACATACCCAACTATCCCTTCATATATGACCACTTATCCCTCACAGAATATTTTTAATATTTCGTTATTATTAGCGTCCGATGAATGTTTTCACAAAATTTTTTCCGTATCTTAAACACATTATCCTCTACTGAGTGTGTTGATATGTTGTTGATCATTTATTGCAATAATACAGATGTTATTTCCAATTAAAAAAACTATGGCCATCTATCCTAGACTCACCTTTGTATTCTTTCTCATTCTAATTTATTACACCAGTTCAGCAATGCAGCTGAGAAGAACAGACCACTACACAGCTGTAGGCCCAACATGGCGACCATGGGAAGCATGGAGGAGGTAACGCTCACGCTTCTTTCTCATCCAGGGCTTTACACATAAGATAATATTATTTTTTACGTAGGCGCGCGTAGTTCGCTTGTCTTCGGTGACAACCTCGAGTCGGATCCGCTCCGGACGAAGACGAAGCCGCAGTCAGCCAGTCAGCGTCGTCGTCGAGCTCGGGGAAATGCACTCGCGCCACTTTTCACATTCATCCGCGCACTCTCGCGTTATTAATACGCCCTGCCGCGAAACGGAAAAAGCGAGGAGCCGGTGGGAGAGATATTAAAAAACAGTCTATTAAAATTTTCATCCCGCCATAAACTTTCGCGAGGGGGAGAGAGATAATAATTTAACATGCAAATAGAGGTGATAATGTAACGCATAAATGTATGCACGTGCACTCTTACGCTTACGCGGCAGATTCTATCGAGCTGCGCGGACATTACCGCGCGACCGGCGTTGTTATTTATTTATTTATTTTCGCTGATTTCATAACCATAATAGAATCCGCAACTCTCATAGAGATAACGGCGTATAATGGCGAGCTTTTATTTTATACTCGTCGTGGCTTTGCGACGCGGCGTTTGGATGGGAGGGAAACCGGGCACCCCTTATTACCTGCGAAAAGTAAAGAAATGAAGAAAGAGGGAAATATTTCTCATCTATCTGCGCGATCGACACAGCCGCCCGTGGTTTCGCGAGTTTTCTCCGTGCAATCCTCGCCCGAGGATCAAACAGGAGCAACTCGGTGTTCGTGATGTCCTCAGTTCGCGGAAAATCGCGCGGTGAGAATTCCACCGTACGTAAACATCGGAACGTATCCGGCAAAATCGCTCTTGCGCGAGAAAGAGAGAGGAAGAGAGAGAGAGAGAGAGAGAGAGAGAGAGAGAGAGAGAATGAGAGAGGGGTGGGGAAGCCAAGAGTATCAATCTTCGGCTTACACACGGACAGCTGGCGAGGAATCGACAATCTCCCGGTCGACACATGAGCCGCGCAGGAAACGATCCGAGGGAGGGACGAGCGAGCGTACGCAAGAACCGCGTAGAACCCGCGGGTTCAGCCTGGAATTACGGCACTGGACGCGGCAGGGTGGAAGAACAGAGCCCACAGGAGGGGAGGTCGCGCGACAAGGGTTGGGAAAGCCGAAGCGTGGCTCCTCCGGGTGGGGGGAGACGGTACCACGAACGCGGACTACGCGGGCCTCCCTCAGCTCAGTCCGACCCGGACGTTCGAGGGAGACGTGTCTGTCTTCCGCGTTGCGTACACGCACCAGTCGCACGGCACGTTGTGTGACGTTCCTCGCGTTCTCGCTCTCTCGCACCCGCAGGATATTGCCCCGGAGATCATCGCCGAGACCTGTGCCCGTATACACGACGCGTGTACACACCTTGCACACATACACATCACACACACACACAACACACATACGCGCGCACACACACACACACGCGCGCGCACACACACACACACACACACGCGCACACACACACACGCGCGCGCACACACACACACACACACACGCATACACACACACGCGCGTGCGCGCGCGCGTACACATACACACCACCCACGCACACACACACATACACACACACCACACACACACACATACACACGTACACGAGACAGAAACACACGTGAGACGCAAGATTCGCGTGCGGAGAGACGTGGCGGGAAGAGTCGCTGGGACTCTCCGGAACGACCTTGCGTACGGCGGAGCGCGCAAGGTCATTGGACGAAAACAGGCCACGCGTTCGTCCGCAGGCACACGCACGTTCGAGAATACCTGTGTCGCGCTACGAGTCGCCCCCGCGGCCGAGAGATAGATACACGGGGGAGGGAGGGAGAGAAAGCGAAGAAAAAGCTCTCGCGTCTCTGTGGGCCGCCACTCGCCGGCTTTCCACGGCCACGAATCGATACCACGCGACCGTCGTCGTCGTCGTCGTCGTCGTCGTCGTCCTCGTTATTATCGTCGTCGTCATCGTCGGCCGTGTGTCTCTCTCTCTCTCTCTCTCTCTCTCTCTCTCTCCCTCTCTGGAGCGCATGAACCTTACCTCGCTCCTTATCGCCGACGGCCTCTCGTCGTCTCGTGGCCGTCGGTCGCCCGGGCCGCCGAAGACAGGAGTGCCGCGCGCGAGGACCGCGGGAAAACGCGGCCGCGAGGACGACGCTCGCAGTGAAGCCTCGGAGTGCGCGACGACGCAGCCCGGAGTAGCCCCGCGACAGAGGGCTTGTTGACGTCGTGCGGTGGCCGTCCATTCGTACCGCGAGCTGCAGCGTGAAAACACGCAGCTGCGAGGACGTTCCTCCGGGTTCCTCGCTCCGCGAGCCCCTCGCCCGGGACAGCGAGAGACCGCACAGTGAAAACCGGTTCAGTGACACGTGACCGTTCCTCCGCGTCTGCTCTCGCGCGCGTGTGTTCTGTGCCGACGGAGGAGCGACGCCGGCTGGCAGGTGGCTGGCCTCTCCGAGCGCGAACGTCTACGAGGACGACCGGCGGTTCACCCTGCTGCTGATCGTCGGAAGAGTGAGTACGCATTCGATGTTTTTCCTCCCGTTGGAGCGAGTTTTCCTCGCGCTCGCCTCACTGTGCGTATCGTTGGCCACCCCCGGGCGAATCTGGGAACGAGCGATCCTCCCGATTCACAGCGCGACGACGACACCCAGCAGCGCTGACCGAGTTCTCTCTCTCTCTCTCTCTCTCTCTCTCGCTCTCTCTCGCTCTCTCTCGCTCTCTCGGTCTTTGTTTCTCTTTGAGGCGCGCGCGCGCGCGCGAGTTACGTCGTCGACTTTCAGAGATTATGCGTCTGAATTATTGCGCCTGTAAATTGGCCGCTTGGCCGCCGACCAAATTGCCGACACCGCTAATTTAACTGCACGGTTTCGTCTCGTCGCGACGAGACCGCGCCGTGTTAGCCGCTCTCTCGTTAGACTCTCTAATCGCGCGGGTGTTCGCGTGAGCGTCGCGTGCCCTCGCGATACCGCCCCCATTATCGCGGTGCGAAAGTCGATCGTGCTAATTAGTCAGAGCGTCGTCGGAGCGACGTTGCTGCTATTCCGGTCGTTGCCGTTTCGAGGCAACGGACTCGACGCGACGTGATCCGTGAGCTTTGAGATTTCGAAGCTCACGCGATGAGCGCGCTTCGTCGTATCCTTTTCGCGCTCGACGCACGCACGCACGCACGCACGCACGCACGTACGCACACTGTGACGTGTGTGCTCGTCCTGTGCAACGGGCGTCTCGCTGAAAACGCATTCATCGGCGGCGTATGTCGTGCGTGTGTGCGTGTGTTTGCGTTACGTCTCGCGGTGTGGAAAAATCCCGCGAAGCGGAAGCCGTCGGAATCTCCTCGCGTGCTTTGAAATGTTTGCTCCCCATTGTCGAAATATTAATCGTCCTTAAGGGGGCTAATGTTAGAAATGCGGCAACGAGAGACGGACAAAGCGAGCAGTCGTCAAACGAGAGAGCTCGTGCGAGCGCGTTCTCCATTCTCGTATAATTTATGCCCCCGACATGCCAGACGACCGACGCGGGCTGCCTCTAATATTTCGGAGGGTCTCTTTATATTCTCAAAGATAATCCGCCGAGCGTGTTAACCCTTTAACAGACAGCGCGCCGGGCTCGCTTTGTCCAATGTTTATAGCGCATTAAGCGACAAAGATGAATTCAACTCGGCATTGGTATTGCGCGTGTGTTGCTTTTAACGTGTCCTATACGTGGCCCTTTGTGGCCGTATCGAATTAATTTCCCGTTTCATTTTTAATGCTCGATTTTAATTTCGCCTTTCGCTCCTCGCGAAAGTGAACGCGGCTGGTCGGCCGGCCGGCCGAGCCGGAAACGTGAATGCTAAACTCGCGAGCGCTCGCGAGTCGACCGCTCGCAATTAGCCGAGTGGAAATTGAGAATCCGCCGCGTTTAGGAGTGTCGCGGCTGTCGATTTGCGCCTCTAACGACGCTCCTCGCGCTGAGAGGCGCGTCTTTAATCCTCCTTCTCACATCTCTTTAAGCCTTCTTATTGTGGCCAATCTAAAGATTCAAGTCTCCATTAGCTCATCCAGACACACACATTGCTCCCTCTCCCTCTCCTTTTCTCTTTGTCTCTCGTTTGGATCTTCTGTAGAAAAATCTCCCATCTCCAATTGGAAAATTTCCGTCTTATCTCGGGCCATTTGGCGCAATTTAAATAAGGTGTAAACTCCGTTGGATTTTAATATTTACCGGTACATATATATTTCAGCCGTAATTATTACATAATTAAGACATCAAATTCGAGATTGAAATTTAATTTAATTTCGAGATATTGCAATCGAGATAATGGGGTGTTGAATAATCCTCGAACAGGTTCGGTTTTAATCTGCGACGTGGCAGAAACGGCGGTAAATAAACATTTGTAGCGTGCGTATGATATGTTATAAATAATAAAGCGGGGAAATAATTGCACACCTTGAGATTCTTTCTCCGGATTGAACGCGGGAGAAGTGTCACCCGGCCACTCGGCTAATGACATCGATATTTCAAACGGGACGGATCGGACGTGCAAAAATGATGCGCTCACTTAATAACGCATAACCACTATGCCGCGCATCTCTCCACTATCAGCGACGCACTATACAAAATACATTCGTATTTCGATGCGCACATATTTGGCCATGAATATTTTACGCGCGTATATTTATGAATTATTTTATCTTTATTATCCGTATCTATCAACTTTGTCGATATATCTATTACCCTGCCAATTAATATTCATTATCTATTAATATCTATAAACATTTTAATGCGTCGCTCCGCGGCGTGTACTGCTCCTCGCAGTCGATCACACGAGTCCCTGTCCACTTTTCGGAGGACCTCGCGCGCTCGCGATCAGCACTCTGCGATTCGTAGGATTTTCCGCTCTAATCGCGACGTCGCGTTCTCAGAATTCACAATTTCGCAGCCGCGCGCCGTCGAGCACCGTCAGGCTCCGTCGCGTTGCGCAAATTAACCGCTCCCGCTGATCGATCCTAACCACAATATCGCTGAGGTTCGCCGGCGATAATAATAACAACCATAATGATAATAATAACAAGAAGAAGAATAAGGCGACCGCCTCTTCCGGGAAGAATTCGATCGAGAGGCGCCGCGGCGCGGCTCGGCTCGGCGGGGGAATCAAGTGGCCGCTCGCGTAAATAAATGATCGAAGCGTGAAAAGTCGGCGGTAGAGAAAATACACACAATAACAGAGCCGTAATTTCGCTCCCTCGCCTATAGAGTCGCCGGCGCGTCGTCGTCGTCGTCGTCGTCGTCGTAGCACGCCGCGACAGATATTACACTCCGACACGACCCCTCTATCTCCCGGCGGGGCGGCGTGGGGACGGGGAGGGCTTAAACGCCGGCTCGTACACCGCGCTCGTTATTGTTGGCTGAATTAATTACGAATTCGCGCGACGGAAGTCGCGAAAGAAACGGACGATTCTTGGCACGACGATCGACTGCCTCGCGGTTTGCGCTCGAACGCAAAGTCGAGGACGCGGCCGAGCGAGAAAGAGAGAGAGAGAGAGAGAGAGAGAGACCGCGCGGTGCCCGTCCGCCCGTCTCGCCGGAAGCGGAAACTTGGCGAGCGGCAGATACGAGCGCGTTTCTTGCTCTCGGCTTTTCTCCGGGCTTTGCCTCGGCTGCTTGCGACTCGCCGCGGAAGGGGCGACGGGGGTAGTCGAGGTGTGCGAGAAGTCGTCCCCCGTGCGAAGGGGGAGGGTCGACGCTCTCGCTCTCTCTCCCCCTCATACTTCAACGCGCTTAATACGGTGGCACACGTTATTGTGTCTGCGGAGTTCTTGCCGGGGAAAGCCGGCAACTTTGTTTCAAGGGCTCGCATTGTCCGAGATACCTGTGGATTAAGACGATGAATATCGCGTTCCGGGGGAGGCGGGGAGGGCCGGCGAAACGACGCCGATGGAAATGCGGCGGTTCGTGCCGGTGAGCCTCTTAAAAGTGCGAAGCCTTTAGTAGCGGCGCTTATAAAGCGCGAAATTACGAGCCCGCGGCGATGTTTCTTCGGCCCCGTTCGCGCGCGCGAAGTAAGTAAGTAAGTAAGTTAATAAGCAAAAACGAGGTAACGAAGTAAATGAAAACTAATCGATAGCGCCGGAGACTCCGCTTACCCTCCTCCTCCCCTTCCACCGCCCTCTCGACCCCCCTCCCTCGCCCGGGTCGATAGCGATCGGGCAGATGCTCGTGAACTCGGCGAAAATCGCGGCGAGTTGACGGGGTTGAAAGATACTTCAAGCCCGCTAAACGCGGTAAATACGTTTTCGGCAACTCGTGGGCGCGGATATACAGTGCGTGAGGATATCTTCACCTTATTCCGATATATATCCGGCGGCCGATACTCTTTCTCGGAGGGGTGGGGGGAGGGGGGCCGCCGCCGTCGTAAAACAGAAAATCTCACATCGGCAGCCTCGAGCGAGTCCGATCGATCGTAACCTTCGTAACGCGACGCCGTGTACACCTCATTCTCGCCCGCGGGGCGACCGAGGGAGGGAGGGAGGGAGGACTGGTTCTCTCTGAAAAAAGACGTCGATTCGACTTGTAGACCCATGCTGTCGTTCCCCTTCCCTCCCCCTCCCCCGAGCGACGCCAGCACGCGTGCACACACCTACGCATGCTTATTTAAATACCAAATAGACCGTTCTCTCTCTCTCTCTCTCTCTCTCTCTCTCTCTTTCTCTCCGCCGCGCGAATCCCGTGGTCTGTGATTTTCGTGCCGCCTCGTCGTCGTAGTCGAGGGTCGGGATCGTCGCGTCGTCATCGTCGTCGTCTCCGCTGCCGCCGCGCCCGTCGAGGGTGTCTTCGGGGAAGGGCTGTTGGGACGTGCCCTCAAACGAGGCATAAAATCGGAGATGAGTCTGTCGTCGCGGAGGAAGGGTCGCGAAACTGTTTCGAGCTCCACGGGGCGCATTAATCAATGCAGAAGAATAGCCCTTGCTGTCGCACCCCCGTCCGTCGCTCGCTGTCTCTCTTTCCCTCTCCGTCTCTTCCTATCCACCCCTTTGCCGCACGTTCCCGTTGTTAGCGCGTATAATCGCGAGCGTATATATTTTGTCTGAGTGAATGCCAGGACGCTTCCGGGCTGCGAGCGACGACGTGCGGATGAAAGAATCAGCTCCCGACGTCGGGAGGGGAGGAGGGGGGGGGGAGAGCGAGGGCGGTCGCGCAACCCGTCGTCATTCTCGTCTCGACCTCGCGCGAATTCCTCCGCGGACTTTCGACCCTCCGCCCCCGGCCCCGCCCCGCCCCGCTCCCGTTGACTCGGCCCGGATGAAAATTTGATTAGGGTTATTAGCTGCTTTCGCAACTTTTTAATTTGCGATATTAAGTCTCCCGGGCAACTCGAGTCTCGAAGTGAGATTCTTAATTAAGGTAAAGTGCATTTGCAACTACCGGAAGAATAAGATTTTCTGCTCGCACCTCCGAAAGTTCATCGTTTATAACTCTCGGGCGCTATTAACGATCTAACATCCTCTTTAAGGAAAGATTGATTTCATGCC